CACATCCCCTCCTCACCCCAGCGGGGACGTACGTGCATACGGGCCTGAATTTAACAAGAGATTTTATGAGCTTTACAGTGGTTTTCACAGTGTAGCCATAATATTTGTTTATTTAGAGCTATGTGGTTGGCCGCATCTCGGAACTGGCTGCCGATAAATTCATGATGGATTATAGTTGGAATAGTGGCGGCAGAGAGCCGGTACAGGAGAAAGGTTAGCTTTTTTTCTCAAACAGTTTCAAGCAAGATCTGGCGCAGATACCAGAAATTTTCTTCTTTTATCGAATTTATGACGACCATCATCCTTCAGTGTCATTTGGAAGGGGTGTCCGCAGACCCTGGAGTGATCAAAATCCTACAGACGCAATGCTAGTTTTTTCGCTTTTCTCGGCGTATATGGACAGCCAGCTGACTTCAACTCCTCTTGTTGGTTCCTGCAGGTGCGCTGACCTATGCTTTGCTAGTTTTTGTACATTGTTATCATTTTCAGGTTGGCACAACCATTCTCCGCGGTATACACACTGAAAACCCCTCAAAGGCCGACTGCCGTACATCTGGCTGCCGAGAGCTTCTACTTGCATATGGTAACTTTTAACATCTCCTCAAAATGTGCTTACCACTGCAGTATTCTCTTACAGAGCAACATCTCCCCGCCTCATTTCGACTTTGTCTTCAATGATGCAGACGGGTCACCAACACGTGCGGTCATCCCAAGGGGTGCCAGAAATCTTTTCGCTGCTTTGTTATCGTTCATAAATCACGTGAAGGTGAGGAAAAAGGCGTTTACCTGGATATTTTCTTGTACCAAAAATGCAAAAAATCGTCAATGCTCAATGTGTACAGTCTAAATGCCGCGCACTCCACTGAGTTTAGAAACTTATTGAAAAAATGGAAAAGATTGAGTTCAGAGATTATCATCGTTTCGAGGTATCTAATATTCAGACTTTTTCGATTGAAAGAATAGGTCAAAACCTAAACCGCAATTGTACTGCTCATATGTTTATCGAAATCAAGCATTTTCAGTCAATTACTATTCATTGTTTTTCCTTATCAAATTATTATGCCACGAAATTACAATGATTTTTGCTGTGTGCATTATTATCATCTATTCTATGACCAGGAGACGCC